CAAATGCTGAACAAGTCCACGATATTTTGCAAACTTGGTTTCCAAAATGTTTTATTCTCAGGTAGCAACCTGCTCACAAATTTTGACGTTTTAAATCCTGAAGGTTTGAGGTTTATATTCATGTTCCAGCATTAAGGGACAAATCACTCGCTTTGAAGGTGCTGATTAACGCTCTGAATGCATGTATCTCACCTTTTACAAGTGTCGCCTTCAAAGACTTATGAGGGACCTTATGGACTCTTATGATTGTTTTTTAATCCAGCAATGATATTGTTCCTTTTACGTCACACCATGTTCTTATAGGCTTCATATGTATGAACCATATCTTTGGTAAAGTCGAGTTTCAAGAAGGTGTAAAACAATGCTAACGCTTTTTTGCGTGGTCTCTAGATTATTCTGTCTCTTTGATGGACTATATGTTGGTCTTACGTACAGGTGTCTGCCTTGCTATGTGCGGAGAATCTAAAGCAGCTGCTGTGAGGTCCGCTAAGGTGAGAACCTGAGCGTGTTGTTCTGGATCTCATCATTCCTGTTTCTATGCGATTTCAGTTCACTTTTTTGTAGACCTGTTCTTTCAACGTTCGAAAACCTAACAGTACGATTTTAAATACATGGATTCTGCGACATGATCGGAGTCAGATACATCGGCTTATGCGTGGTACAATTTCTGGCTGAGTATTAACTGAAGAGCAGTATGCTCTGAGGGAAGTAAGGTGTTAACAATCATCTGTTGGTGGTGCTGCTGTATTTATTGCATTTGTTTTTACTGATTTAAGGATTTTTCTTTTTCTCGACTGTTTTTTACTGTTTTGGCTGTGATCATCTGAAGCATGTTGGATTTAAAAAACTTCCAGCAGCTTTCTTGAATTTATTTTTTACATTCTTGATCATGAACCTGTGGTGTATCGCGCAGGTTAAGGATCATGCATTAGATACAGAGGAGGATGTAAAAGGTTTGCAGGGATAAGTTTGTGGACTCTTGTTCCTTTAATTATGGAACTCGTTTCTTCAAGTGGGAGATTTTCCGAAAAACCACCGAGGTCACCGTTAGCTGAACATGCAATACTCCGGAGAAGTCTTTTTTTGATCCAGCTCCACGTACTGAAAGAACTTGTATAATTGCCACCTTTGAGAGTTAATCACATGCCATCTGTCTTTAGATGCCACCAATAAAGCTGGAGGGAATTTTCGCATCGTTGAAGTGGCAGAGGAGCGGTTGAATTCAGAGACGAATGGGGCAGCCGACGACGAGAATGTTTCTGACGTAGAGGTATCTACCAGAAATCAATCAAACTGTGCAGATAGAAATATTGATATGTTCTAATGTATTGATACATGTGACTTGCGTTCACGATGACTTAATTCGTAAAGTACCTGCAGAATGAGAGACTGAAGCACTAAAAACCAACTTTTTACAAGAATTTATTACGCGCATCGCAGGTAGACACGTCAGTTCAATTTGCATTGTGATTGCTTGTTAGTAGGAATATGCAGTTCCGCCCTGTATAAAACGAGGATCTTAAATTTGGCTTGGCTGATGTGTTGGCTATTACTGTTGTTTCAGAAGGATGGAGAACCATCAGTGGCTGAGCATGCCTTGTGCAATCTTGTAAAGGGCACTGCTTTACGTGTGCTTGGAAAACTAGACGAGGATCGTACTTGTCTCGAGTTCGGAAGGTATCTGTAATTTTAGTATCTCCCTTTCACATTACTTTCCAAATTTTCTGCCGTGAGTTAATAGTACATGTGATGAGGATCCAGAAAATATAACTGTAATTTTGAGTTTTTGAAATAATGTCAGGCTGAAAATCTTATTTTTGAAGACGAACTTAGCATGCAGTATCGTAAGTTGATGTTGACCTTCTTGTTCAATAGTGAGACAACCTGCTACAAAGAGACAAAACTTTTTCTGATTCCAATGGCGGAATACGAGCGCGCTCTACTGCTCATCATTCCACACACTGAGCGAGTCAATCATGATCCATGCTAAGCCAACAATTTTGACCTTTTACTGGAGGTATCAATGTTGCCAACATCGGTGGTAGGAACTTACTTTCAATGCTAGTGATGCTATTTATATTTTTCCTAGTGGAAAACTTACCATACAATTGTATGGCTAGTACACTTACAAACCATATCAGGCACTGCCAAAAAATTCGGGCCTTTTGCATGTGGTATGATAGAGCGGTAGTTAAAAGTTTACAAACGGTGGCTGTCAATTTTAACAATTCAACAGTTCAGAAATTCAAGTCCAGTACCCTCCACATTAATCCCTGCAGGTCATAGCTCTACTGTTCAAAATGTAACAAACTATGGTGTAATACATCACACCTAGACATCCTAGAACTGTCGCTTAATGTTCATCAACAATCCTGTATTGATACCCAGCTTACAAAGATCGCATGTGTCTACTTGTTTGTGTTGACACCGTCTCTGCAACCTGGGTTTCCAACGAACCAACCGTTGTAAAACTAGATCCAGACTTAGATTGGTATACTTTATGCAATCAAGATCCAATCCACAATTCGTTCTTTTATCGGTTCTTTCTGAGATATGTGCTCACTTCTTCGCTGTGCACCCACTAACGCAAGAAGAATTTTTAATTCCTTTGGACTTGAGATTCCATGTATAATTGGTTGCAAGATAAGCTTAGATATCAGCCGGTCAATCGGAATGAGATAAATTCGACCAGGAATATTCTTAAACTCTTAGCAAGCTACATGTGAGGTCTTGAGAGCATTTCTAAAAGGCTGAGATGGAATCCCTTGAATTGGTAATCCTTTGCTTTTATTGCAATTCACATTTCTATCTCTATTGCATTTGGTTCGTTATTCAGTGGCCATCGATTCTAACAATGCAAACGTCCGGTGATAACCTTCACACAGTCATTGATTGGCATTGAAGTTGCTACATGTAAAGACAACGAAGAATAAATTTTAACACAGTCTACTGGCTCTAGAATATTCTGAACTTAAATCGTAGCACGTCCCACAATCCTAAACTAATAACTCTCCTAAAAGTATCTTAAATCCTGCAGCGCTCTATTCTCTTTCATGTGGATGTCAATGAATGAATTTTTTTCTGTTCTTTCACAGCTGTGTCTTTTTTCGCCCATCAAACTTTATGAAATCGTTATGTTTCTTGTATCACTTGGTTCACTGTTCTTGTATCACTTGGTTCACTTTTATTGATTGAAAAGGAACACATCAATTAGATTCTGCAGTTAATAAAATTAACAAAAAATGTAGTGCAAAAACTCTTTAAATGCGTTTTTTAAAAATCGTGTTATTTTTGCCTACTATGTTTGAAGTTCCACGTTGACAAATTACAAGATAGTTACAGAGAAAATGTTGATCCATACTTTTTTGATAAAGATTTATATTATTTTCACAATCTGTATATATAATTGACTTTTTTTATATTTTAATTGAGTCTAGCACATCCAATCAAGTTCATTAAGTCCATGGTTCCAAGTTAACACTGCTTGGTCTTGAGACAAAAACTGGCAACCTCATCTCACATGTTAGTGTTATCATTTCAGCATTCAAACTTTACACAAATAATATAGCAGTCAATGGTGGTGTGGTTTGTGGGTCAATGTGGGTCAACATTACTCATTAGTTTTTGAAGCTCAAGCAACTCCAAAGTAAATACATACACCCTGCTGGATCACAAGTATATGTAAAGTCATTGATAATGAAGTCCTTTTGAAAAATCAAGTCCATCATAGAGTGTTGAATTTCCTGACACAAACAGACAAGACCTTTCAGAGCAAAGAAAACCCTGTTTTATTTCAGCCTGGAAGTTGGCACAAGTATGAGCACATCAAAACCAGTCCATGCCCACAAGTTCAACCCACTAAGTAGATATCGTATTTCATAATGTACATCATCATACTTTCCTACAATATTGCAGTTGGAAGCTGACAGATCCTTCTCCTCCAGCAACTGCTCATTTGTACCCGTGACCATGGTCAAAGGCTCTTGACCTATGACCAAGTGGTCCATGTAACCGTGTGAGCCCATTCCTATTCGAAAGGCATCTCAGTATGGTGATGGACAGGGAACCAGACAGTGCCACTTGGCTAGCGCCAAGTCAGCAAGATTTTTTTAGGGTTTCGAGGGGAGATGACTAGTTAATTAAGTTTTTAATGGACTGTAGGCAGGGTGGCGGGGTGTGAAAGTTGCATCAGTGATCTGGATGGTCCTCATTGGCCCTCCTTTCTTCTTCCTCCATGGCCTCTTCAATCATTCACATGAGACTGCACTCAGGGCTACCTCTCGTTGAGTGGTGGGGGGGGGGGAGGGGGGCAGTTTCTGTTTTTGTATGTCCTTTCAATTGGACTTCCACATGGACTTCTGAAGTGTTGGTTCTGGCAAGTGCCAACTGGCAAAGCGAGGGGTCATGTGTATGAGGGGTTGTCACCATGCCACCTGGGTTGAATGGGTTGAATGCACACCATCCTTGACTACATTAATTTGGCAGTTTGGAATTTTAAAAAAGGATGAACGACGGCATTCATCTTCGAGTGGCGTGTTCATTCTAAATCGCCCTTTGAAAGGACCGATCCTTGAACTTTACTCCAACTGCAGAGCATTCTTGTGCTGTAGGATCCACCGTTAGCACCCGCCACTAAAGGATTGTTTTGGAAAAAAAAAAAATATAAAAGCCAATCACATGACCAAAATTCTGAAGCACACATTCCGTTTTGTCAAGCAAGCGACACAATCCTTTTTCATCCAAATTTGATGCGAATGTAAGCATGAAGCTCTTGTTTCATCCCCCACCATCGGATAAGGTGTCTTCTCATCCAACGGCAGCGATGTGGGACAAAGCCCAAGGATGAACGACATACTTTTTTTCTCATATACTACTTACTTTTTGCGAAGGTAGGTCGCCTTTTGGACGCAGGCCCCGTGCAACGAAAGATCTGCCCCTGAAGAGGATCAACAGGGTTAGGGAATGGTTCCACCGAAGCGGCGAATTCGCCGCTGGAGGTTCCTTGCCACCGTCGATGAGTGCGGTGATTACTCGGTTCGGAATCCAGTGGGGAAAAGTTCTAAAAGTACCAAAAGGAGGTCTGGGAATCAGGAGTGGGAGAGTCGAAGGAGACGACGACGGGGAGGGTCGGAGAGGACGACTGGCAGCAGCAAAGCACAGGAATAAGAGACGGCGGACAAAGGGAATGTGATGGCATTGAGTGTGCGGGAGCCTCGGCTGTAGCTCGCAAGAGCTGCCCATCAATCTTCCTCGATAGCCTCGCTGGATGTTGCCCTGGGGTGATTGTCATCTTGGAGGTTGTTTCTTGGGTCGTTGAAGAAACCCTCAGGGATCGGGAGAGGCTGCTCATTTGGGGAGGAATTTTGCTGGAATTTGCAGCGATTTGGGAAGGAGAGGAGGAGGAGGAGGAGGAGGAGGAAGAAGAAGAAGAAGAAGAAGAGATATGCAGAGTTTGTACGCTGCCTCGACGGCCACCACGCTCGCGTGGTATGGCAGGAGCAATGTGAGGGTGAGCGGGTTGAGGGCGAGTACGTCGTCCTCGTCTGCGTGTGCGACGGCCATGGCGGGGATGGGTGCGTTGCGATCTCAAGGGGGTGTGAGCGGGCTGAGCTCCGTGGAGACTCGCCGGAGCGGAATGTTGCATGAGATGGCGGGTTTGGGAATGCCTCGGTTGTTCCCTGCTGTGGGATTGAGGAGAAGGCGTGAGGAAGTGGGTGTGAAGGGTGAACAAGGGCCGCTGGGGTTGGGGTCTGGCGTGCGTCTGCCCGTACGCGCACAAGCGGCTGCGGGAGGCGCGGCGCTGCCGAGTCAACCGGCGAATAAGATCCTCGGAATTGAGGCAACCACATTTAAGAAAGTGATTCCGTTGGGGTTGATGTTCTTCTGCATCCTCTTCAATTACACCATTTTGCGAGACACGAAGGATGTGCTGGTGGTGACTGCGAAAGGAAGCAGTGCTGAGATTATCCCTTTCTTGAAGACGTGGGTGAATCTTCCCATGGCTATCGGATTTATGGTTATCTACACGAAGCTGTCGAATGTTCTCTCCAAGGAGAACTTGTTCTATTCGTGTATCTTCCCTTTCATCGCCTTCTTTGGTGCATTTGCCTTCTTCATGTACCCGATTGTGGATATTTTGCACCCAACGGCTTTCGCAGACTGGGCTTTGGCCAAATTCGGCACTCGGTTCCTGGGTCCCATTGCGATCATCCGGAATTGGACGTTTTGTCTCTTTTACGTCATGGCAGAGCTGTGGGGTAGCGTGGTGGTATCTGTGCTTTTCTGGGGTTTTGCGAACCAGGTGCCTATCTTCCCCACCTCTTCTCTTGTTTTTTACTCTCCCACATGCCATGTATACCTGTGTGCGTCGGATTGACTGTATCCTCTTCCTCTTCCCATGCCATGCTTAAATGCTATATTTCAACAGTGTTCACGGTGATGTGCAGTTTTCGACAAATCATAGTTTTTTTTAACTGTTTTCATTAGACATAATTTGGTGTCGCCGATGTTATACATCTGAATTTAATGATTTTCTGTACGTGGCAGATCACGACAGTAGATGAAGCCAAGCAATTCTATCCCTTGTTTGGGTTGGGCGCGAACGTAGCTCTTGTCTTCTCTGGAAGAACGGTGAAGTACTTCTCACAGCTTCGAACCAAGTTGCCGCCTGGTGTGGACGGGTGGGGTTATTCATTGAAGGGAATGATGGGACTGGTCGTCATTCTCGGTTTGGTTATCGTGGGTATCTATTGGTGGACCAATAAATATGTTGTGAATGATCCTTCACTACCGAAGGTCGAAGCTCGCAAAAAGGTAGGTTTGTTTTCTGGTCTGTAGTGGAGATGTATTCTACAATCCCAATTTTGTGACGATTTTGCGGGTTCAGTATGTTAAGTTCTCGAGCTGTGAAAAGATGCTGCGATGGGGTTCTTTGCAGATATATTTACTTTTTAAAATTAAACAATGTATTTATCATCTCAAGTGGCATTAGCTTCTGTAGAAACGGTACTGTAGTGAGACGAATACCATTGAGTTCTCGCCGTTATTTTTGTACTTTGAATTCATTTCGTTTACAGCATTGCTTAGCATCTATGTGAGAGTGTTCTTCAAGTAAATTCTTCGCATGGATCTTGCCCGAGTTGGTCTAGAGATAAATGTTTTGCTGCATATTCCTAATATATTTGTGTCCTGACCTGAATTCTCAGAAGTCAAAGCCGAAGATGGGAATGGTTGAAAGCGCGAAGTTTTTGTTGACCTCACGTTACATCCGCGATCTTGCTACGTTAGTGGTTGCCTACGGTATTAGTATCAACTTGGTGGAGGTTACATGGAAATCTAAGCTCAAAGCACAGGTATTGATTCTTTGCGAGTTTTGTTACTCTGTGTTCCCCTGAAATGTTTCCTAATGTGAGTATTCTCCGAGAGCCTGTTTGCCCATATTGCCATGAATTAATGTTTTTGTTCATGGTTGCAGTTTCCCAGCCCTAACGACTATTCCTCTTTCATGGGAGACTTTTCAACGTACACCGGAGTAGCCACATTTATCATGATGTTGCTGAGTCGTTACATCTTTAGGAAGTATGGGTGGGGGGTAGCAGCAGCTATTACACCAACGGTCTTGCTTGTGACTGGAGTGGCCTTCTTCGGTCTGGTACTTTTCAGTACCCCATTGACGCCAATGCTTGCTGGCCTTGGGATGACACCCTTGCTTGCTGCAGTTTACGTGGGAGCTCTTCAAAACATTTTCAGCAAAAGTGCTAAGTACAGTCTTTTCGACCCTTGCAAGGAGATGGCGTACATTCCCTTGGATGAGGAGACAAAGGTAAGACCACGTTAAAATAAGTTATTATTAAAGTGCTGTGAAGCTCTGAACTTGGAAGAAAGTCCTAGGTTTATCTGAAATGTGCAATCGCAGTAGTTGTATAACCTGAATTTTCCCGTCCGTGCAGCTAAAAGGCAAGGCAGCTATCGATGTGGTTTGCAACCCGCTTGGGAAGTCGGGAGGTGCTCTCATTCAACAGTTCCTCATTCTGGGGTTCGGGTCTCTAGCGTCCTCAACTCCCTACTTGGGGGCCATTCTGTTGCTCATTGTACTTCTATGGTTGGGTGCCGCTCGGTCGCTTGATGCTCAGTTTACTCCTCTGGTGCAAAAGGACTTGAAGGGCAAGCTTTTGGAAGGAAAATTGTCCGCCATTTCTGCTGCAGTTTTGGGTCAAACCCAGGCAAAGAAAGAGGTCAGCTAGCCGAAATATTTTGAAGCAAATTGTCACTGCTCCTGGCTGTTACATGTTAAGCTATATTCTCAATCAAAGATTTTAACTCAATGCCTGTGCTTGCTTTCTGTAAGTAGCAGAAGAAATGTTGGACTATTTTTGAATGTTGTACGATTCCATCTAACACTGAAAGAGTGGGCATCACAGGTGAAATATCGATTTGTGAGTGTTCTCAATGAACAGGGGTTCTTGGAAGGACGTTATGTCCCCGTTGTTGAAGGGCAAGCTCAACCCCCTGCAGCGCCTTCTGAGACTCAAGTACCGTCCTCAGAAACTTCTCCGTTGTTGGAGACCAACAACATCGATGACTCAGCGGCTCAATCAGGGGAGACTGATGTGCCATCTCTGGGAGCAACGCCCACAACGCCTTTGAAGTGAGGTGACATTTTGTTGAAGACTTCGGTAGTTCATTGTTGGTTGAACCGCATGGCGCGTTGATTGGTTGTTTGTCAACCAGCGCATTCATGGCGCGAGTAGTCTGTGCCAGATTATTGACACCACACTCTATTTTGGGTGGCAATGTGGTATGTCACGTCTCGGCCTCGATTATTAGGAAACACCACGCATGGAGCCCTTCCTGGTTCCTGATTTCGCTAGAATATGGACTGTCTAAGAGTTCAGACACAAGATTATGAAGAATATGGTTAGAGTTGCACATGGACTTTTGTTCGGAGCCCATTGATTGCCTGAACATTGCTCAACCAAAGTTATCACCTTATGTGAGTTCTTTTTTCCACTCAAAATTATCTCAATCATACCTACTTCAGATTAAAAAGATGCGTATTTAGCTCTTAGGGGGAGACTTATCATTCAAGGAAATGCCCAGCCTTGTCCGTCTGGTCAATCCTGATTGCAATCTTTTTCGATTTGGGAATTTGCTAGCGCCTGGGGTCTTGCTGATATTTGCGCAACACATTTCAGCTTAGCAATATGAATTAGGCAGAGTCGATTACTTGTGTTCATCAAATACCTACCAGTCAGAAGAAAATGCCTCAGCGCGAGTACTGTCATAACTTGTCTTAACTTCTACTTGCTAAGCATCTACAGAGTAAAATTTGATCAACTTTCCGTGTACAAGTTGTTTCCTTCAATGGTTTCTCAGATGCTGATGATTGCGATCTGAGAATGAAGGGACAGCCCTGCTGCATAGAGGCAAGAGTGGCACAACTGCAGACAAACATCAGAGTCTCACGAGCTAGAAAGGATTAGACTTGCTGCATGGTGGATCGTCCTAATGGTAGGTCCCTGTTATTGTCCTGTTCCCAGCAGCAAATTTCTGTACAAACCTCTTCATGCTGATAGATTCTTCAACCTCCTTTCTTCGTTCTGTGATTATTATTTCAGGTTTCATTGTTTTGAGCCGTATGGTCTGATTCCAACTTTCAGTTTTCAGGTTCGCTCGTTGACATGCCGATTGTTTCCTTGCAAAACATTTTTAGTGGAACGGCTCATTTTCGATTATGGATTCCCGTTCTGAGGTGGTGGGGCCAACAAGAATGAAAGGCATTTTGAGCTGGAATGCTACAGAGGTTTATTGCCTAAGCCTTTCTTATCGTGATTTATATTGGTATACAAATCAGAATCATGATAAGCATTAACTTTTCAACATGTAGAAATTTTGAGTTTTCTTCCACACTTGGTTTTGAATGTGGGAATGAATAAAGAATGCTTTAAAAATATATATATGGTAGTTAAAAATGTACGTAATAGTTGTAAATTGTATTATGATTTTATTCAATAATATATTAGCTATATTTTTTATATGTGGCCAAATTATTAACCAAGTACTATAGCAATATAATTACATAGAAAAATGTTAAAGTCCACCTATTTACTAAATTTACCCACCCTATTGTAATCATCAGAAAAATGAATCATTTCCAAAAACTATCATTACAATCACGGCCTTTATTTTAATTTTTCTCGTTTTTAATCCTTGCTTCTTTTATTCCTAGCCTTTTTCATCTAAATCCCCTTCTACCTCCTCTTTTTTTCCCACTCTTTCCCTCTTTCTCTTCTTATTTCCAACTCTCATTCCAATTCCTCTCATTCTCCTTTGTTCTCTATAAAAAGATGGGTTGATTTAGTAAATATATGGATTGTTTGAAAATTTTCTATTAGATGTATTATTTTTTTTTATGGTTAGGGTTTTATTATCATAAAAATCATAACAATTTTAATGTCGTATTATAAAAATAAGGTATTAATATATGTTAGATATTAGCTAAAGAAAGTTTTTTTTATTACTTATAGTCTATTGACATAAGTTGAATTTTAAATTTTATTTTAGTATTCTTATTGAATTTTGTTTTTTTTTTCTTATTTATGTAAGTATATATATATATATATATATATACTTATATGTATTATTATAGATGATGGTGTTAGTGAGCATGCACCTATCTAAAAGATTATACATTTATTATGCAATTATTTAGTCATCTGTTTATTTACCAATTTTACTTTTATTTATTTATTTGTCTTTGGTACAAAAATAAAATATATCTAATTTGTTAATGGGATGAAAAAAAGTAACAACAAACTATCTAATTTTTATATTTAGAGATAAAACTAAGTATACTAAAAAGATGAGATAATTATTAAAGCGAGTTCATCTACACTTTGGTATATGATTGTAGTATAGTAAGAAATTCTAGAGTTTTATTTAATTATTTTGTTATATTTAGAACCAAATATTTGATTAGCTATTCAAGAATTATTCTATCTCTTAAACAAGATTCATGTTGTAGATTTTTTTTTTTTTTTTTTTTTTTTTTTTTTTTTTTTAATTATTAATCCAAAAAAAATTATTTATTTATGATTAAAATATTTCAATTTATTCTACAGTTTGGAACCAATGCTCTATATATGATTTGAGATAATTATATTAAATTCAGAACTTAGTTGCTATAAATTGTTGATTCAGCATTCATCATTTGATATCTACAAAATTGTTAAATATTTGCTTGGCTTGGCTAAATTGCCACTAACATCCATTTGAATAAGAAAACTTTAGTAGCATCTTTTGGATCAATAATTCTAAGGCCACCTTCATCACAAGTTCCAAAATAGATCTTTGATACAACTCCGAATCAAATTAAAGAAGTATTATTTTGCTACACAAAATTTTTGACCATTACTTTAATTTTTAAAATAGCCTTTACAAAGCTATTCCAAATAACTAGAAAGAAATAAAACAAAGAGAATTGAATGTTAATTACAATGATAGTTTCACCTATTATATTAATTTTAATAAAACACTAATAATCTAATTTATAAAATATTCTATAGAGAAAAAATGATCAATATCTTGTGTTTTTTAAAAAATACGAAAGGAAGTTCCAATGAGCTTATTAATTTTGGTGTTTAATGTCCATTTTTAACTAAATTAATTTAATCAAGCCAAACTATCTATTTTTAAATTTTTTGATATTCAATAGATTTGGATCAATTTATTTCCAAATATGATGCTATGTTGAATTATTTAATGATGTTTACCAAATAGAGCACATTTTATTCTTTTCTATGAATTGGGATTGTAGAATCATTGGCATATTGACTAATGAATTATTGATGAGAACTTCAAAAAATAAAAATACCTTGTAGATAGTATTATTAAACAATATGTTGAAGAACAATACTAAAAACTTCATTAACCAAGATTAATAAATAAGGTGCTAAAAGACAACCTTGCCTTACATTGTTTTTAATAAAAATTTAGTTTGTAAATGTCACATTAATATAAATTGTTGTGCTTACTGCATATAGACTAATATTAATTATATAGAAAAAAATAATCAAAACCTAGTGATTTTAGAATTTTAAATATAAAATACCACATGTCCTTATTTTAGACTTTAAAAAATTAATTTTAAAGAAAAAAATAGTTATTTTGAATTCTTGGCCTAATTTTTAGTTATTTGAAAAATATATGCATTATTTAAGATGAATCTCAAGGAAAAATAAGCTTTTTAGTAAAAAAAAATGACCTTTTTGAAAATTAATCGAAGTTGTCTTTAAATTACTTTACTATTAATTTTGTAAAATATATTTAATAAGGTGATAGGTTTCTACTTACCTTGCTTTGTTTGATCATTTTTTTTATACAAAAAAAACATATCCTCAAAATATGTAAAGTAAGAGTCTATCTTTATTTAATATATAATTAATCATAAAAATATATTCATTACTAATGATGTATTAAAAAAAGTGAAAAAAATCAATTTACATCTTAATTGGATTAAATACCTTATTTTTTTCCATTTTCTTAATACCATTAGGTTTAAATAATATCTTTCTTGATAATCTATAAAAAATATTAATTTATCATCCTTGATTTGATTTTAGAGGTAAAAGATCTTGTTTACTTGAATTATATTTTTTTTAGTCTTCTTATTTCTTATAGCAATAGAAAGTGTGTTCAATTTAGCCATATATATCCAATTTCAAAGAAATCCATATTGTGACATTAGTTGAGCTTCATTATAAATACTACTCTATATGAAATTAATTGGAAGGTGTGACCTTAGATCTATCCAAGCTTATATGTATGCAACAAAACTACAAAGTTCATTAAAAGAGAAGAAGAGAGACAAAGGAAGAAAGATGTTTCAAGTTTTATATGAGATATTAACTTGGATTTCAAATCATGCATAAATAGATTCCATATTTACTTTAGGTATAGCTTTTGCCTTAGCAAACTCAATAATATCCCTAGCTATGAATATTGCATTAACAAATCTAACTTGCATTAGATATTGTCCTAAATCCAAGGCCAATAAACCTTTGGCATATTAGGATTGTTTGGCCTTCAAGAATTTGATAGATTTCTATTATGATTCTTGTTTAAAGAAGAGAAGTTAGAGGCCTTATTTCTACTTTGCATACTTGCTTGCAATTAAATTGAATTAGATTAGACCTTAAGTTATATATCATCTTTATGTTAAAACTTAGATTGAAAAGTGCCTAAAAAATAGGCATACAAGTTTTTTTTTGTCTCATCTCTAAAAGTTAGTAGATGAGCCACCAAATCTATTAGGATTTTCAATTAAGAAAATACAATGGCTCATGAAATATCTTTTATCTCCTATAATCTTTAACTATGATGTTTTGACAACTTTGAAACATGATTAGAAGTCTGCAATAAGAGGCTCTTAGAAGATTTAACCACCATAAGACTTATATCTTTAACTACAAATCCATTGCTAGGAATTAGTTTCTTAATGAACAATTTTTAATAATTCAATCTAAGATCATCTTTCTTTATTAAGCTAAATATAATAAATTTTTAATTTTTTGATAATTTTGTTATTTTTATTATAACTATAGTATATTTTTTCCTTAATATATATTATTACTGATAGAAAAAAAGATGACCATGATCTTTTTGGTTGAGTTTCAAGTTTAGTTCTTGACTTGGTAGATTATTTTTTATAATTGATGATTTTTAAGAGTAAGTGTAGTGATCTAAAACAACTAAAATATTGTAGTTAGGTGTTGTACTCAAGCTTGAACATTTCAACATTGTTGTTTTTATTTATTTATTTATTTATTTATTTTTTATGTGCATTGTCTATATCTATTGTTTGATTTTTTATGTACACCAATTGATGAAATACATCATTTTTTGGGCCATTGTAAAGGACATGAATTACAAATAATAAAGTCTTCAATATATTTTTGTAACACTAGAAAAGAATAGAAATTTATTCAAAAATAATATAATATTAGAACTATATTGGCTATTCCAAAAGAGAAGAAGACTAAAGACTATTAAAATTAGACTAAGAACAAAAGAAAAATTGACAAGAGTAAAGAAGGTTTTATTCTTGCTTCCATATATACTATCTAATCAAGAGCTATGAAGTAACATTCTATAGGACTTCCGACGCATGTCTAAT